GATTAGCTTGTTTTTGAACACTTTAGATGATGTGATGTTTTATTTTAATTTTGAAACTATATTTCTAAACTCTAATTAATGCATATTATATATATAATTCTAAGAAATATTATGTTAACCGATATTTCCGATATATCAACGATATATCACCGATATAACCGATATATCGAATATCGGTCCTGACCGATATTTCGTATTCTGACCGATATAACAGCATAGATGTCCAATTACATGTCTTGCTCAAAACTCTCACCAAAATACTCTGCTTTCACTTCAAATGTGTCCAAAGTTCAAATTCCTAACACTATACAGAAAGCCCTTAAAAGTCCAGAGTGGAAAAAGGCTGTTCTAGAGGAATTGAGTGCTCTTGAGAAGAATCAGACGTGGCGTGTTGAAGATCTTCCGAAAGGTACTCCCGCAGTTGGTTGTAAGTGGGTATTTACTTTAAAATTTAATGTTGATGGAGCCCTTGAAAGATATAAAGCAAGGCTAGTAGCCAAAGGTTTCACACAAACCAATGGCATGGTTTGAAAGTAACTTTGGCACAGAAGTGTGCAAATTAGAGAAAGCTTTGTATGGGCTCAAGCAATCCCCAAGGGCATGGTTTGCATGTTTCATTCAAGTAGTCAAAAGTCACCTATACAAACAGGCTCAATCTGATCATACTCTATTCACTCGATTTTCCTCAAAAAGTAAAATTACAACCTTAATAGTTTATGTAGATGACATACTCGTCATAGGTAACGATCATGAGGAGATGGAAAGAATGAAGGCTCGACTTGCTAAAGAGTTTGAAGTAAAGGACCTTGGAGAAATGAAATACTTTCTAGGTATGGAAGTTGCAAGGTCAAGTAAGGGAATTGTATTGTCACAAAGGAGATACGTTCTGGATCTTCTACAAGATATTGGAATGAGTGCATGTCGACCGATAGATACTCCAATTGACCCCAACAAAAGGTTGGATGGCATTACTAATGGGAAGCAGGTTGATATTCATCAATACCAACGGTTGGTTGGAAGGTTGATTTACTTATCACATACACGGCCTGACATTGCTTTTGCAGTTAGCATGGTGAGCCAATTTATGCATTGTCCTTATGAAGAACATGAAGAAGCTGTCCATAGAATTCTTAGATATTTAAAGAGTTGTCCAGGCAAAGGACTACTCTTTAAAAAAGGAGACAATCAAACCATTAGAGGCTTCCCTAATGCAAGCTGGGCAAACCCAAACATGAGCAGAAGACCTACATCGGGATATCGTACTTATGTATGGGGAAATCTTGTCACATGGAGAAGCAAGAAACAAAGTGTTGTATCCAGAAGCAGTGCAAAAGCTAAATTCAGATCAATGGCAGATGGCATATGTGAAATAATTTGGATTAAAAGGGTTTTTGTTGACCTACGTTTAAAGGTTGAGCTACCTATGAAGTTGTTTTGTGATAATAAAACAGCCATTAGCATCTCACAAAATCCAGTCCAACATGACAGGACAAAACACATTGAAGTGGACCGACACAAGGGAAAAGTTGGACAATGGGACTACCTGCATTGCATTCATCCCTTCCAAAGAGCAAACAACAGATATCTTAACCAAAGGACCATTTAGACCAGCATTCGATCGTCTTATAGATAAGTTAGACATGTATGATATATATGCACCAACTTGAGGGGGAGTGTGGAATTGATATAGTGAATATAATCCCTGATTTATTGGGATTATTTTTCCTTTTTTAACAAATTTGGTAGATATTTGTATAGTTTGGTAAGTTTCCTTGTATGTTATTAAATCCCTTAAATTATGGGATTCTAGTTAGGTCTCTAAGCTGTATAAAACCCCCTTTTGCTTTTCAATGAAAATATTAATAGAATTTCTCTGAAATTACATCAAAAATGTTTAAGCATAGATTAGCAATTGTGTAAAACAATTAACATAAAAGTTTCTCTAAGATTCTTAATAACATAATCTATGTACCAGAAGAAAAGAACAATAGTAGACAAGTTTTTATCCAAATCCTACAGCAAGTCAATGTGAGAGACATGTGAAAGAAGGTTTACCTGTGGAAAATTGATTCCGTAACTGATATTGATTTCCTTAGAAGGGAATGCTGATATAACAGAATCTCCTTTTGACACAAGAACAGGATGAGTAAGATAGGGTGCTAGTTTATCACAGCTTCTGCCATTGCGATCCATAGCAACTGTCAACCCAACTTGCTCAATAGCTTCCACCCATTCCTTCGCTGACCCATCAAAAATGGGAACCTGCATCAGTTAACCACAAAATCAATCTTCCGGTTCTGAACTGCATCCTGGTGCAAGATGATTAAGAACACACATTCTAATTCTCCACACAATCAATCTAACATAAATATTTACGTCCAAAATTTAAAATCAGCAATTAGCTCCGTTTCCTAATCATACCTCCACTGATGGATCATTATGATCAGAGTTCAAAATCTCGATTCGACAATTATCGACGCCTGTCCCCTCCAAAGCCGAGAGCAAATGCTCAACAGTTCGAACACTATGCCCATCTTTACGAAGCGTTGTACACAGTGGCGATTCTTCAACAAAATCAATTGAAGCAGGAATTAAACGGGAGCAGAAATCGAAGTACCTCCCTTTACCAGATAACTCCGGCCAAATCCTAACAGTAGACTGGTTGCCAGAATGAAGTGCCCTCCCTGTCTTCTCAATACAACCACCGATCGTCTGCTGCAGCTTACCAGTCTGCACTCATCAAGTGCGTAGATAATATATAGTTACAGATGATCAAAAAGAGAGCAAAAAAAGGAGAGAATGAGGCATACGGATCTCCATGAAACCAGAGCAGAGGATTTGAAAGCTTCCACGGCGGCCCTAGCGAGTGTCATTTGCCGATGAAACTGTGGGAGACGACCATTTTTGGCCTTCTTTTTTAATTAAATTTTAACTTCTCCACTAAACTTGTAATTTTTCACGATTTAGCCCCAAAACTTTATATTCTCAATTTCTATCAAGGTGATATTTGGTTCGTTGTTTATTAAAAGGTAAAATGCATGAAATAACAACTTATTCTAACAAACTAAATAAACAGAATTAAATTCTTTTGACAGATTATATTTCAGTTCTTGTAAATTTTTGAAAGTCCGTTTTTTATACACTATATAATATATAATAATAGTTAAAAAATTAATAAATAAAATAGACAATTTTTTTGGTATCTAATATGATACAAAAAAGTTTAACATTATATTAAGGACCAGACATATATTCTTAAGTTAAATTTAGAGAAGAATATATGTAAAAAAAGGGGAAAAGACTATAATGAACTTTATTGTTTGGAATGACTAAGTTCTTGGACAATTTTTTGAAACAAATAAATCTGTGGACATTCCAAAACATGTTAAATAAATTCTTAGACTTTATAAAACCTATTACATACATTATGACCTATAAAACTGATTAATGTGATAAAATATGGAAAAAATCTGGAAAAAAACCCAATGAACTTTCATATTTTTAACGATTAAGTCTCTAAATATTTTTTGAACCAAAAAGATACTTACATATATAAAATGAAACAAATATACCAAAAAAATATATATATTTAAAAAAAATTAAAAAATTTAAAAAGAATTTAAAAAATATTACTAATTATATTTTTTAATTAAAAATAAAATATA